GGGTTTATGCCTAGGGTCAGACTTGGATACATGTGTAGGTTTGTGTCAGCTGTGCTAGCTAATGGATTTATTTAGACTAATTAAGTTCATTGGCAGAACAATTGAATGAGGGGGGAGGAAGGTATGGAGGGCAACCAGGGATGCCAGGGACAATGGGGGAGGAAGATGGGACATAGCAGAGGGTGGGGGATGGGGAATCAGGGATGACAAGACAAAGGGCAAGGTATGCAGGACATAAGAATTGGAAAACTATTTGCTGAGAACATGTATGTGGATGTGCTTGATTGAGCCAATGCACAGTTATTTTGGATGGAAAATTCATTTGTGTGTTGTGATGGTATAAAGTGAATTAATAAAAAAAAATTTTAAAAATAGTCATATTTAGCAGATATCCAGAAATGTTCACGCATATGATTTTATAGAAGTGTCCTGATCCTAGATCAACTTCATATAATTTTACAATATTGTAAAAATATACTAAGCAACAGTTTTCTAGTGGCAATGGTTTCAGCAAGAATAACTTTTATTTAATACTCACTAAATCTTTGCATGCAGAAGTCTAATAAAACAGGATATATCAATGTATCTATTTCACCAAGGAAGATGAAGTGCTGAAAGATTAAACCAGGCTCCCTTGGATCAGCTGGTGGCATGGTGGTTAAGGGGCTAACGTTAAGGATAAGTCCTGGACTAAGCTTGATAAACATACTGACACGTGTGCATACTCAAAATCTCTAAAACAGAGACAAATGAGAGATAAGATTATGACATGACCATCCCCTACTAAGGATGCTCTCTCACCTTTCCTCTTTGCACCTTCCCTATAGCAAATAGATAAATAATTTTTTGATATAAATAAGGCCTTCCTGTGTTAGATGTCTACTCATTGTCAGGTTAGATGAAAAAGAAATATCATTTCAGTGTTATGTCTTTAATAACCTTCTATTGCTGACTCTTTGATAACTTTTTCCCAGTTCTATTTATTTTTATTTAAAATTTAATTTGATTATCTTCAAAGATAGAAGAATGTTTTCCTAGGGTCAGCAGGTGGTGTAGTGGGTAAGGCACAAGACTATGTGGCTGAACACGACTCAAGTTCCAGACCTGGCAGCTATAAACTCAAAGATTATCTTCAAAGATAGAAGAATGTTTTCCTAAGGTCAGAAGGTGGTGTAGTGGGTAAGGAGCAAGACTATGTGGCTGAACACGACTCAAGTCCCAGACCTGGCAGCTCTAAACTCACAGTGGGCACATGTGGTGTGTGTGTGTGTGTGCACATGTGTGGTGTGTGTGTGTGTGTGTGTGTGTGTGTGTGTGCCCAAAATCTGGAGCATAGAACAGAAAAGAATAAGTCAGAGTGTGGCCAAAGCCCTGGGGGAGGTGATTTCTCGCTTTCTTTCTCTCTGTTTTCTCTATGTCTCTGGCAAGCACATGCCCTATAGCAAAAATCTCTCTCTCGAAGAATGTCCCTTTTATGGTTTACCCTTGATGGACTCATAAAACACTTTCAGAACTTCAGAAGAAGCTGGATCATAGGGATCTTAGACCACTGTTTCACTTCACACCTCCAAGTACGAGGGATCTTATTGACCTAGGATCAGATGATGACAGGTTATATTTGGAAGAAAATCAATTTATTACATAGATGTGTATCATCTATCAAAAAATCAAGAAGAGATAATGTGTAATTTACAAACAAACCAAATGCATTTTATTCACATCAGGAATTTTCCATGAAGGGAGACAGTGAAGGTTTATCAGATCAAACGTTCCCATTCCCACTGATTCAACATCACCAATGTCATTCATATGTATTTTAAAACAACAATGTGAAAACTAGTAGTCTTTATCTGTAAAGAAGAATGAAAGAGTAACAAATGAGGAATAATGGGTTTTATAAATCCCCATTAGAAGATTACCCATATATAGTTTTAAATAAATGGAAATTAGAGAATTTCTCAGTTTTGTAATTTCACCCAATACAATGCTTTGATAACAAGTCATTTATGAATAAGGTCTTAGTTTACTCTTCAAAATGAGAAATACAATGAAATTATTTGACTGGATCAATTTACAATGCAGAGAGTGCAGAACTTACCTACCTTCAGCAGAAGAGAACAGAAGTCATAATTGATCACTATATATAAAAGAGTGCTGAGAACTAGGGAGTGTTGGGAATAACTCTCCAAGGAACTATCCAGGTAATTATGAAGGGAATCATGATTTAAATTTTATAAACATCTCAGGGATAGGAGAAGTTAAGGTGTGTTGATGGAAAATAATAATTATTTCTTTACAAAACTTTAATTAAGAATTCTGGTATACTAATAAATGTCTATCTTTGTGAGCAACAGAAAGACTTTTAGGACATGCATACTGTGTGTGATAATCAAATCATGCATATACTCATATTCATCTTCTTCAACATTGAACATTAAATTATATTGTGCACATTTGTTCATAGTCCTACTAATTCTTTAAAAATATTTATTAAGTTGATCTGAAGGCCTATTGGTTATAAGAACTGGATTTCCCATGGCTGACCCTGCAATTTGAATCCTGGCCCTGACTTTTTGAAAAGGACACTGAGTCTGTGTGTATGCCCCAAATCTCAACAGTTAAAAATACTTTGTAATTAAAATAAATAGTTCAAAAATTTTGACTTGATGTTCTAATCTGTCACTCACTTTTACACTTTTTTTTCACTCACTGTCAATTTTACATTTCAGAAAAATTTTACTGATTTGCATAATATAATATTTCAGTTGTCCATTTTCTTTCCAGTTGTGCAACTATTCTAAAAACACCATTTATAAGGAAGAATGATCAAAATAATACGTGTTTTATTGCATCTCATGGTTGATTTTAGATGTTAAGTGCTTCAAAATATGTAAAATAACTATAAGGTTAAGATTTTATAAAAACGTTTAGATATTTAACTAGGTAAGAAAGCTACACAGGTTGTTAGTAAATTGTACAACCTCTATTTGGTCTGGAAAATTACGGACAGATTTTAACTCAGACCAAGTTTTCTTCTGCATTCTTCAGTGCCAAGTATCTAGAAATTCTGAGTCACTCTCACATACTATGAAGAATATCCATTAGATGAACTTCTGAAGAAAACATAGACTGAAAAAAAAAAAGAAATGGTGTGTGTGTGTGGATGTGCATAAGTGTATGCGTACATGTATGTCTTAGGAAAAGTAGGGTGTGCATATCTGTGTGTTAATGTGTGTGTGTGTGCATGTGTGTGCATCTTAGGAAAAGAATAAGAAATGCAAAGAGAGAAAGAGACAGAGATACATGCAGAGAGGGTGGTATGTTTAAGATTAGAAGTTGGAGATGCCTAAATTTCATTAGTTGGAAGGCATAGAAATAAATGTAACAAAGTCCTCTATTTTTATTAATATTTTTCTGCTGAATGTCAGAAGAACAGAAAATTGCTTTAAGTTCTACACAACTCTAGACCCATAGGAATTAAATCCTGAAGAGGTCTTAGATATCAGAGATCATAGTCTAAAAGTTAACTGAATTAGCATCGACTGTGACTTTTCAAGATTACCCACTAACTAGTTTGAAATTTGGAAACTCAACCTAGGAACATGATTCAATCACCTAACTTTACGAAATCATTCTTCATGTAACATAAAACTAATGTTCTAAAAAAGTAAATATAAAAAGCACTTCTCCTCTGGGAGGAAATAAGAAGAGTTAACAAAGATGACCTGAGTTCACCTGTCAACAAACTACAAATATTTAGCTGCTTTACAATTATATTTTGAAATGTATTACCAACAATCAACTAATTTGTCATATCAATTGTTCTCCCAAAATGAATGCATGCATATTTACTGCCAAAAGAAATAGCCTCTAACTCATCCTCAAAGGAATCTTATGTGAGTTTAAACTTAAAGTCTGTAAGGCTTTTAAGCTTTTCAGCTATGATCTAAATTGGATCTAGATTAGCAATTTATCTTATCTGTACATATGGTTGCCTGTAGTATACCTGTATTAATGTGGAAGGAGTCCATATGCATTATGAATCTCCTTTGAAGAAAATGAGAAGTCGATAACAGACAAAATATTTTTTTCTCATATTGAGTTTATCTTGTTTTATAATGGCATCATTTCAAAAGGACTTGTAATTACTTAAGTGTGTAATATAAATATATGAATTATATTTCTTTAGCTACATGTATGTTATGCATAAAAACAAAACCTGATTCATTTATTTAGCTTA